TAGCTGTTTTAAATGTTGTAATCCTATATATATATATGAGATCATAGAGTGGAGTAAGCATCCCACAAAATTAGAAATCTTCTTTTCATTCTCTTTACTCTCTTAACTTGGTATCAGAGCAGGTTGGTCCTGCTCTGCCTGTCCGGCCACTGTCCGGCCACCGTCCGACCATTTCCGGTCACTGTTCAACCATTTTCCGGTCACTGTCCAACCATTTTTCGGTCACCATCCGACCATTTTCCGGTCACCGTCCGGTCATTTTTCGATCACCGTCTGGCCACTTTCCGGCCACCGTCCTGCCACTTTTCGGTCACTTTTCGGCAACCGTCAGTCCCCCGTCCAGTCACCTTTTTTTTTGCTGCCGTTCGACGACTTTCCGACCACCTTCCAGTAACCTTCAGGCTATCTTGGGTGTTCTCTTTCTTACAGGTTCCATTGTCTCCATCTTACATCTACATTATTTAAAACATGTCGTCAGGGCCCACAACCTCCTTTTCCGGAACTCCCATGATAACGACTGAGAAATTAAATGGAAAAAATTACATGTCTTGGTCCTCTTCAGTGGAACTTTGGTTCCTTGGACAAGGATTTCACGATCATCTAGAAGAAAACGGAAGTAAGATACCAGAAGATCAGGCTCAACAATGGAAAAAGCTTGATTATCAACTTTGTGCTCTACTGTGGCAATCAGTAGAACCAAATATTTTTAACACTCTCAGATCCTTTAAAACATGTAACTCTTTCTGGAAAAAAGCTCAGAATATCTTCGCAAATGATATCCAACGCCTCTATGATTCTGCTAATCGATTAGCCTCTCTCAAGCAAGTGGATAAAGATATGATGACCTTTATTGTTGAAACTCAATCAGCAGTTGAAGAATTAAAGATGTTCTTAGAGGTGGGTTCGTTAGAGGAGATAAAACAAAAGTTGGATAAATTCTATATGGTTATGACTCTCCGAGCTATGAATTCAGAATTTGATCATGTTAGAGATCAAATTTTAACTGGACAAGAAGTTCCTTCTATGGAAAGTTTGACTACAAGACTGCTTCGTGTTCCAACTCTGAAAGAAAAAAATAATCAAGAACTTGTTGAATCTTCTGCTATGATTTCTACCCATGGAAGAGGAAGTCGCGGCACTAGAGGAGGACGTGGAGGTAGAGGACGTCCTCAGTGCACTCATTGCAAGAGAATGAGTCATACGGTGGAAAATTGCTACTCTTTGCACGGTTTTCTCGATAAAGCCGTCAATTTTTTCAAATCGAAATGGTTGAACCCAAGTTCTCTCACGAAGAATATCGGGAATATTTGAGGTTGAAATCCGATGAATCTAGCACGGTTATCAACAACCCCAAATTCATCAACAACTTGCATTTCACAATCTGTGGAAAGTCAAAATCCATGGATTATTGACTCAGGTGCTTCTGATCACATGTCTGGTAATACCTCTTTGTTCTCTTCTCTCTCATTTCCTAAAACTCCTCATCTCATAACCTTAGCCAACGGATCTAAAGTAGCCTCTAAAGGAACTGGTCAAGTCTCCATTTCTTCATCTTTAAACTTAAAATTTGTTCTTTTTGTTCCTTCATGTCCCTTCTGTCTCATTTTCCTAAGTCAATTAACCAAATTATTGAATTGTTCAGTAACCTTTAATGCCAACTCTTTTGTTATACAGGAACGTAGTACGGGTCGACAGATTGGCGAATGACATGAATCTGGAGGCTTATACTACCTTGGGACTAAATCATCTGTATCTTGTGTTGCATCCTTGTCTCCAAAACTATTACACGAACGGTTAGGGCACCCTCACTTATCAAGATTAAAAAAAATGGTTCCTGAACTTCAGACTCTTCAAGATTTTGAATGTGAATCATGTCAACTAGGGAAACATACTAGGTCCTCTTTTCCTAAACGTTCTGAATCTAGACGTGACTCTGTCTTTTCTTTTGTTCATTCCGATATTTGGGGTCCTAGTCGTGTCTCATCCTTTGGCTATAGATATTTTGTTACCTTCATTGATGAGTTTTCTAGGTGTACTTGGATTTATCTAATGAAAGACCGTTCTGAATTATTACCTATCTTTAAGTCTTTCCTTAACGAAATCAAAAATCAATTTGGAAAAGTAATCAAAGTTTTACGAAGTGATAATGCCAAAGAATACTTTTCTACTGATTTCTCTACTCTCTTAAGCTCCCAAGGCATTTTACACCGGTCTACTTGTCCTCACACACCACAACAAAATGGTATAGCGAACGAAAAAATAGACATTTGGTTGAAATTGCTCGTACCTTATTACTTGGTGGAAATATGCCCGTTCATCATTGGGGAGATGCTATTCTTACTGCATGTTTTCTCATTAACAGAATGCCATCTTCTTCTCTTAACAATAAAGTTCCACACTCTATTCTATTGCCAAAGGACCCACTCTTTAATGTTTCTCCTCGTGTATTTGGATGCGTATGTTTTGTTCATGATATGTCTCCAGGATTAGATAAACTATCATCTAGAGCCATCAAATGTGTCTTCTTGGGATATTCTCGTCTTCAAAAAGGATATCGATGTTATTCTCCTGAAACCAAGAGGTACTACATGTCTGCTAATGTCACTTTTTTTGAGTCAACTCCCTTCTTCCCTTCTTCTATGCAGGATATTAGTTCGGTCCAAAATGTCCTACCTATACCCTTAGTGGAGCCATTTGTACCTCCTCCTCCTGACACCCAAAATTTCACACAAAATACACCAGAATCCTCATCACTGCCTCTTATTACCTATCAACACAGGAGCCAAATGATCAGTCCCATGTCCCAAGATGAGTCTTCCTCAGCAGATCCTTCTCAATCATCCCCTGATACCACGATTCCTGATAATGATGACTCAAGTTGGCCCATTGCCATTCGCAAAGGTACTCGCTCTACTCGTAATCCACATCCCATTTACAATTTTCTTAGCTACCATAGATTGTCTCCTTCCTATTTTTCTTTTGTTTCTTCTGTATCCACTATTACTACTCCAAAAAATGTGAAAAAGGCACTTGATCATCCTAGATGGCGACAAGCCATGATTGATGAAATGCAGGCTCTTGAGCACAATGGTACATGGAACTTAATTCCTCTTCCACATGGGAAGAAGACTGTTGGTTGTCGTTGGGTCTATGCCATTAAAGTTGGACCAAAAGGTGAAGTTGATCGACTCAAAGCTAGATTAGTAGCAAAAGGCTATACTCAGATCTATGGCCTTGACTACAGTGATACTTTTTTTCCTGTGGCCAAAATGACTACTGTTTGACTTTTCTTTGCTATGACAGCTATCCGTCATTGGCCTCTTCATCAGTTAGATATCAAGAATGCGTTCTTGCATGGTGATCTTGAGGAGGAAATTTATATGGAGCAACCTCCTAGTTTTGTTGCTTAGGGGGAGTCTAGTTTGGTTTGTAAGTTACATCGTTCTCTCTATGGTCTCAAACAATCTCCACATGCTTGGTTTGGAAAGTTTAGTCACATTGTTCAAAGTTTTGGATTAAAACGAAGTGAAGCAGATCATTCTGTTTTTTATTATATTGCTTCAGGAAAATGTGTTTATTTAATTGTATATATAGATGATATAGTGATTACAGGGGATGATGTTGATAAAATTTCTTTACTAAAGAAACATTTATGCAATCACTTCCAAACTAAGGATCTTGGTTGTTTCAAATACTTTCTAGGGATTGAAGTGGCTCAATCAAAAGAAGGCATCGTAGTCTCCCAAAGAAAGTATGTTTTAGATATCCTGAAAGAAACAGGCATGATTGATTGTAGACCAGTAAGCAGCCCTATGGATCCAAATCAGAAATTAATGGCGGATCAAGGTGAACCGCTCTCTGATCCTGAGAGATATAGAAGACTTGTTGGAAAACTCATTTATCTCACCATTACCGGACTGACCTATCTTTTGTCGTTGGAGTTGTGAGTCAATTTATGCAAAATCCGCGTCTCGATCATTGGAATGCTGTCGTTCACATCCTAAAATATCTCAAAAAAGCTCCAGGACAAGGTGCATTGTATGAAGATAAAGGGGGTACCCAAATATCTGGGTATTGTGATGCTGATTGGGCTGGATCCCCTATGGACAGACGCTCCACTACAGGATATTGTGTTCTCATTGGAGGCAATATTATTTCTTGGAAAAGTAAGAAACAAAATGTAATGGCCCGGTCTAGTGCTGAAGCTGAATATAGAGCAATGACATCTCTCACTTATGAACTAGTGTGGGTGAAACAATTCCTTCAAGAACTGAAATTTTGTGAGATCCAACAGATGAAGATGTATTGTGACAATCAAGCAGCTTTCCACATTGCCTCTAATCCGGTGTTCCATGAAAGGACCAAACATATAGAACTTGATTGTCATTTTATTCGTGAAAAATTGTTGTCTAAAGAAATTTGCACTGAATTTGTCGGGTCCAATGATCAACTTGCAGATGTGTTGACAAAGTCTTTAAGAGGACCTCAAATTGAATTTATTTGTTCCAAGCTTGGTACATACAATTTGTATGCTCCAGCTTGAGGGGGAGTGTTAGAATTATTATTAGTTAGTGGTTAGTGGTTAGTGGTTAGTAGTTAGTAGTTGGTGGTTGGTGGTTGTTAGTAGTTGGTAGTTGTTGTTTTAAATGTTGTAATCCTATATATATATATATATATATATATATATGAGATCATAGAGTGGAGTAAGCATCCCACAAAATTAGAAATCTTCTTTTCATTCTCTTTACTCTCTTAACTCCTTCAACACACTACTTCTCACAAATCTCACACGAGAATAGAAGAAGAACACAAGAATATGATTGTATTATGATAATCCTTTTTTATTACACTAGGGTCTTATTTATACCCTTATTCCTAGACAACCAAGTCTATCTTTATTTTCTAACAATATAACAAAAAAAACTAATTACAGCCCATCATCTAAAAGATATATAACAAAGCCACAGTTTACGTTTTGAAAACATCCTGATAATCCTTTAATGATTCTAGAGCTTAGTTTCATTCCACCAGAATTTGTTTATTTTTCCCCTACTCCTTTGTTTCCTTTATTTATTTTTCTGACTAAAGGAATACTATTTCAGTTGGTTTTGGGAGGGCCATTTCTCCCTCATATTGAGCGCATTATTCGAGATAAAGCAGCAACCATGGAGTCACCTGTAGTGTTGGCATGCGATACTGGGAATTGGTGTACTGCAAAAAGTTTCAGTACACTCAATGGAAAGCCTTGTCAAATTTGTGATATAGTGATACAAGTAGTGAAAGACTTGAAGATGGTATGCACTCTTGTTCTTTCGCTTTCAATCTGTTTGAATGATGCACTGTATGGGGACATATCTCTGAGGTGGCTGCTTTAGATGAACTGAGGGCATTGACTGCTTAGGGTGCATCTTATAGACATGCTGTACAATGTTAGTTAACATTCTTTAAACCTAAGCATTGTATAAGCAAAATATGTTATATGGTTTATCATAACACCGTGCATTAGAATACTACTTGACAAGAATTTGATTTTCAATTAAAAAAATAGGAAGTTTAAAAGTATAACCTATTTTAAACACACTTGATTTTGAACTCTAATTATAGTAATTCTTTTGCTTCCATGTGCTTGCTATATTGCTTTGCATCTCATGGTATCTCACATCTTATGTTGTACCAAAATTGTAATTTAGCAAGTTTTCTGTCTACTTTTTCATCATTGATCATGGAAAAGTTTTATTAGCAGCTTATGAATATATCTATTAATGTAGTCCTGTAAGTTACATGATGTGAAGTTGAAAATGCTTGGAGATCATCAACTTCAAAATGCAGCTACTGCTACTTGTGTAGCACTTTGTCTTCGTAATTCAGGTATAACTTTTCTACCTTTTGCTTGGCCCTCTCTACTTGTGCTTTTGTTTTAGTTGAATTTGAAGAGTTTAGGTAGGGAGAAAGAAGATAATAGAGAATCAAAATAATGTAAAGTTATTATGATGCAGTGACGCTATCACAAAAGACAACCGATAGCCCTATTTATGCTAAGTACGGAACCCCGGTCCTAATTAAATAAAGAAACAAATCATAAAATATTAAAGAACAATGAATCCTGCTCATCTAGGATACACTAAAATTTTCTAAAATATAAAAAAGATATCATTAGATGTTTCTCATATTTTCTAACACTCCATCTCAAACTAAAGCTTACTAAGCTTTCAGCATGTTACACAAAAACAATACATTCTTCCTCACATAAAATATATAAATAGATAAAACAAAACAGTTGAAATCCATGAAAACAATGATTTGGACTAGAAAAATTGTTTCCAAAAAAGACGGTTCCTAGACTACTGTAGGGACAAAGACAAGGCCAGTGCCTCTGGGACAAAGGGCGAATGCTGGTGCATCTGGAAAAAAGATGAGTCATTTTTGGAAAATATGGGGTCAGTACATCTGGCAAAAAGATTGGGTCAGGACATATCGCACAGCATATCCCAATAGGGCTAAGCAGCCATGCTGGGGTGGTGAATGAAGGCATTTTGAATGAACTGAAATAGATATCTGCTGGATATTGACTTCAAAACCCTTGAAATGGCATGGGAACATTTGTTACTCAGAAGAGCCCTGATGGTGACTGGAGTATAGGCTGGACACATGACAATGGTTGAGGAGGACGGTGATGTCGCTGGTATGAACGTGCTAATCTATAGATGTCAGAGAAGTGGGCAGCTGACAATTGTAGGGGCAGTTTGTGGTGGAAGACAACATATAAAAGGGAAGACTGAATGCGGAATATGATTTGACAACACAACCAAACAATTGGGCCAGTACATCTGAAAACTCTATGATACTATGTTGGATTCAAATATTTTAGGTAGGCAAGGAGAGTTGATAACACAAACAAAATAATATAAGATTGATATGATTATGATGTAATGAGGTGATCACAAAAGACAACCCATCGAATCCTACTCCTGATTGTATATAGAGATACAAATCATAAATATAAAAGAAGAATAAATCCTAAAAGATCATCTAGGATACTCTAAATTATAAAAAGGATATCATCAGATATTTCCCACATTTTCTAACACTTATTATATTAAATTGAATTTATTCACTCTAGTTCTGAAGTTACTTGAGATTCAGATGTGTGGATTAATTACATTTATAGGGTTTTCTGAGGCAACTAATGGCCATTATACCTATCAAACTCGTAACTAAATACTTGAGTATGGCATATGCTATAAGCTTCTTGCATTTTGTTAAGACATGGCATCAAGCTTTTTGCATGTTTTAGTTTAATTATTTTACAGTTTATCCCCATGACAAACCAAATCAAAGGATTTGTATTGTTTATATTGAGTTTTTATATGGTTATATGACCTTAACTTTCTCCGTGTTTATTGGAATAGGATGGAGTATTTCTGATGAATCTATTAGGTCTGGTTTAGAGCATACACACCTCCTCGGAAGGAGTCAATTTCTAACATCTGAAGAAGCAGATGTATTAGGACTTAAAGGAGCAACAGTACTGGTTGATGGAGGTTGAGTGCTCTGAACCTTCCTTTATTACCATGGTATAAACTGGTGACATGAATTCTGTTTTCAAAAAATTAGGCTTCATTTGTTCTGGAAAATTTCTAGGAAGTCCTTTGAAATTTTGAGAAAGAAAAAGCCTTTAAATATAGATAATTCCAGACTGGACACATCTTTAAGATATGGTGTGGTTCTGATTGACTCTTTAGGACAATTTTTTATTTGTATTGTGGGAGGAACTGAGGAATTTCAGGCATAGTGCTACAAATACTTGAGATCAAAGTTGTGATTAGGTGTGTTGGTATGTGCTGTAGCTCATACCAAAGAATCAGCGAAAGCTCTGATGAATACAATAAAGATGGCATTTCCCAAGACTCGATTGGTTTTTGTTGTAGCAATGGCAAGTGACAAAGACCATGTGGGGTTTGCTCGAGAGATTCTCTCAGGTAAAATATGTTAATTTGTTATTTAAATTAATTAATATCATGTTAAATAGAATTTAATGAAGTGGGATCAAAAGAAAGTGAAAGCCAGTTATGAGAAAGTTTATTGATTAAACGACGGCATTAAATGTCAAGTTGGTTTGATTCCTTCAAACCACTAAACTTCTGTACTTGTCTATTAATATCAAATATCACTCTGGTTAAATGACTTAACCCAATAACCAAGGGGTTCTGCGGCATATAATTTTCTTTTGATTTTATTGATGATGTTCCAAGTTATTGATCTGGGGTCTTGGATAATATTCTGAATGTAGGATTTAGTTCTTCTAAAATAAGAGTTTCATTGAATTAATAATTAAGATTGTGATAAATTACTTGCATGTATGTAAAAATTCACGTAGTGTTTAAAGTTCACTTTATTGATTCTCCAATTTACGGTTATATTCCTGTACTTCTATTCCATTGTACCCTTCGCTTCGTAAGAACTAAATTAAACAAATGTTACATGTGTTCAAAGCCTATAAAAGACTAGTGTGAAACGATAGGTCTAAATATGCCATGGAATTTGTTCAGGGGTACATGTGGAGATTGTCCTCTTGACAGAAGCTGCTATTGCTGGAGGTGTAACTAGAACTACTCCAGCTTCTTTGTTGAGGGATTCTTGGATTAAAGCTTCTGATGAGCTCGACATTGGGATAGTTCATGATGGAATGGCAGAATATAGTGAATTATTAAAGAAGCATCAAATGGGCTCTGAAAGCAATTTGGGTGATGGTAAGATCATATTGGCTACTGAGTCATGTTTAAACAGTTGTTTGAGAGCTGCAAATAAGATTCTAACAAGAGGGGAAGAAAAGGGTATTATTGTCTTCACTGGGTCTCTGCATATGGCAGCTTTAGTCGTAGCTTCTCTTGCTGGTTAATGAGTTTTATAGTTAAGCTGCTGAAACGGAAGAACCCTGCAATAACATCACAATGAGTTTGTAGTTGTGGAACTGTCATATAGGATGTATACTTGTAAAAATCTTAGATTCGAATATCTTCACCTTCATCTGTAACTGGCACTTCAGATCTTTTTCATTTACCTGCAATTCTTTCCCTTTCAAATTTAACTTGTTCTGCACCTTTTCTCCATCATCTTTGACGATCATGCTTAACAGGTGCCAAATATTCCTAAAGCAACAATTTTGGAGTTTCGTCTCTCGTATTACAGTGACATCAACTTAATTTTGTTGATTTTTTTTACTTTACTTTCCTTTTGTTGCCTTTGTACCCATTGGATGAACCATCGTAGGTGAAGTTTGGGTTATAACTTGATGATGTGTTTTGATTGGAAGATGAAGTATGTTGCAGAAGTAGAAACTTTTGTTCTGTCACTACCTCTTTCAACTGAAGGATTTGACCATGTAGATTCATTTTGCAACAACCAATGCATGCTCCAATTTGAATTGTTCTCTCACATCTTGAGAATAAATTATCTGCCGTGTCCATTTTTGAGCTACCACTTTTCTTTCTTTAAACGTCTTATTTATAGTGCCCTGCAAATTTTTGAACTACTTTCTTCAACTTCTATTATCCTCATTTCAGTTCCGCGACTCCCCTCTCTTGTGAATCGCTGTTCATTGCAATTATCTTTAATTTTAAGCCAAAATAATGTGTTTTGGTTTACCTCCACAACATCCTTAGAAATATTTAGCCATGCTTGGATGAGAAATTTCATTGCTTCTCAATTGTCTTCTCCTCTCTGAGATTAATATTATCCAATCCAAGTGAGTTGAAAAAACGATGCAGCTTGATACTCGCTTGCTTTGTTATGTGTTTCAAGTTTTATTTTTTTACAAGATTGACCTTCACTAGTACCTATTAGAGTTTGAGTTTCATAATTTATGATAGGTTAATTGGTCGTGATTGAAAAATTGATATAGAATTAGAAACATTGGAAATGTTTTTTATTTTTTATTTTTTGGATTGGATAGATTTAGAGGAATTTGTAAATTTGGATGAGTAGAAAATTGATCATTTTATAGTAAATTGAGCCAAATACTGAGATTGAATTGACAAGAAACTATAGAAAATTTATAATGATTAAGAAACTTTTGATAGGATTGGTGTGAAAAAAAAAATTATCCAAAGTCTCTTTATTACGTGCTATTTGTCAATATCTTAAAAAAAGTATACATTATTACCATTAAGAAATTTTTTTTTTCACTTAAAAGATTATTTTACCTTTGGTTCGAACAGTTATTTTATTTTATTTTATTTTACTCAAACCACTATTTATAACTATTTTGTTGTTACCTTACTCGTGTGCAGTGAAAGTTATTATGTGCCTTGGAACCAACTAATTGCTGATACACGGGTTCGTGTATAAGTACCAAAGTTCTTAATGTGCAGAGTTTATTACAAGAACCTGCTATTTTGTTATATTAAATACCGTGCAAGCATCCCGTTGTTGATGCTCTATCCAATGATTTTATTAATACCACAGAGTCATTAATGCAAGATTTTTCCTTATTACTACTTATCTTTTTCATTTTTGTTACTTCTACAACTATTTTATTATTAAAATAATTAATGCACGAGACATCATTCATTGAAAATCTTACAAAGAAGAACCATTACTACATTTAAAGTCTTAAATGTTAATAGATTAAACAAACTCCTCCTAATAAATATTTAAATTAAACTTTTGTTTGGTAATATATAATCGGAAAAAATAGATTTACAACCTACTATCAATAAACATCAATTCAACAACATCATTTATTGATAAATTAATTAATTTTAATTAATTTTATTTTAAATAATTTTAAAAATAATGCAATGACCAATTCACCTAAACCCTAAAGGTTACCTCTAAAATCACTGTTAACCGGATCCAGTATCAACCAAAACTGTGCATTTGGGTTAAGTTTACAAATTTAATTTTCAATAAACTTGATTTTGGAAAATTAATTTTAATGAAGAGTGAGTTCACAAGAACATTTACATACCAGTCATCAACACCAAACCAGACACATCAACCAAACAATTCCTAACAGGATTAGTTTACCAATGCATTCAAATCAATCAATCATGCATACCCAATTATCAATACCCCATGTTAATGAGATGGGACACTACAAAAAATGGCAATTTAATTTATTGTTTCCAGAGACAAAAAAAATGCCATTATTTTTGAAACATTCGATCGGTTCCGAGGCAAACTGTGGGGCTGTTTGAAAAACACAGAACCGCGAACACACTCAGTAACATGTCGTTGGTGCTATGTACAGCAGTCACTATCATGGAGCAAATTCAAATTTTGGCATTTTATAGAGTACAAGCAGTGACATGCCAGTAAAAGCATTCAAAATTATTGTGCTGGAAGGTACACCCTTTTTTCAATGTTACATCTAATCTAAGTTGGCCACATTTATGCTATGATGTGGGGGTGGTTTTGGTGGAAGAAACATGCTATATACAAAAAAGAAACAAGCCAGGGTCCACCCACCCTGTCCCATTTTCTTAACTCCCAAAACCATCGTGAAAAATGAAAAAAGGTTTAATCTTTGTCCTATATCAAGAAAGGGATGAACAATCACTGAGTAATAAAACCTACTATAAGAAAATAAGATAGAAACGGATGCATCGTTTTCTCTGGGGTTCTAGATTATCTCAACTACTATTTGTAGTTTCATTATTGCTGACTAGAAGCTTCAAGCAGCATGGCTAGCGTTCAGTGCTGTTCTAAAGCTCTCCACTTCAAGAACAAAATTCATGTATATAACACAAGCGGGAGATTTAAAGTAGTTGTTTTGAATATTTTCTGCAATAATATTAAACAGTTAGAGAAAGGGTACACTGAATTTAGAGCAAAGTGTGAGAGGAAATGAGATGGAGACGTGGCATGGAACGCGTGGGGCACCAAAATCTAACCGAGAATCAAGCTGTGGGACTCACTTTGCCTTCCAACATTCGTCCCATTCCAATTAGGGTTCTTAAAAAGTCCATACATGCATGCGGATATATTTTATATTGGAAATTTGATAGGTGTCTACTTTCTGTAAAATTCATTTTTAATTAATATTAATAACATGTTTTGAGGAAAATATTATTTTATTTGATTAGTTTATTTGTCGAATTTTTTTTGTTTTAAATACCTATGAACAAATTCTGGCTGAAGGGTATGCAACACAATGTTCTAAATACGAAGAGAGAGAAAGAGAGAAAGGTTATGTTTGGTTCATACATTTCTTGGGTGGGTAATTAATGAGCCTTAATAAATTAATGAAATTTTCTTACTCTCTATCCAACCTATTAAATTGTAATGATTGTTTCATATACTATCCTTTTTCTTTTTTCACATCAGTAAAATTAATAAAATGTTCTTCAAAATTATAATTTTTTTATTGATCTAGTTCTTGAAATTATAATTAGTTAAGTTGGTCACTAAAATTAAAAGAAATAAAGTTGAAGTTATTGGTTATCAATAAAAAAAAATTGTTATTAGTGTCATTTAATAACATTGTTTATAATGTGTAAGTGACATTTAAATATACATGCATGGTTTCACTTAGGAATGATAATTAAACATATACTCGTGGGACCTATCCAGTCTCGAGTCTCGAGTTTAATGAGAAAAATCGAGTTAATTAGGGATGGAGGCGGGTTCAAGTTTTTCCGCTTTAAAAAGTCGGAGGCGGGGACGGGGACGAGAAATGCAATTCTCACCCAGGTTTGTCCCCGACTTTATATTTAAATTTAAATTTTAAAATATTAATATTTTAAAAATATTTTCTTTTCTTTTTTTATTATATATAAGATAATTTTTTTATATTTTATCGTTATTACTTTTTTCTAACAACTTTTTAATTTTTTTATCTTTTTTAATATTTTATATCAATAAGTTTATTATATTATTCTTTTTGTTTTACCTTTCATTTTTCACGTTTTCTTAATCTCTATTCAATTTTTTTTTCAATCAATCTGATGAATACAAAGTTAATTTTTCTTATTCTTTGACTTTTTTTCTAAATATTTTATATAAATATTAGTTGTAACTAATACTATTTTATTTATAAGTTATTTTATTACATTTTATTATGTCATATTTTTTGGAACTTATTATTTTTATTTATTTTATCTCAATAAAATAATTATATTTTAAAAGATTAAAAAAATTGATAATTTAAATTTTTATTATTTTGAACTAATTAAATAAAAACTAACTAATTAAATATTTTCTTATAAATTATATATTTCATATTTTTAAACAACAATTAGAAAGAAATTAACTTATATATATAATCAAATATTTGAATACAGTATTATAATAATAATAATAATAATAATAATAATATTATTATTATTATTAATATTATTATTATTATAATAAGTATTCTACATATATATAAAGAAAAAAATAATTAATTTTTATATATAAATATTTTAATATAAATATAATAAATTAAAATATATATTTAATTAATAATAATTACAAATTATAAAATTATAAATATTTAATTATGTACAAAAAATATATAGAAATAGTAAAATTAATTTATTATAAATATAATTATTTTTTTTAAATAATATAGATCTAAAACGGGATGGGAAATCCGAAATCCAATGGAAACGAAAATATGAACCTAATTTGCAGTCTCAGTTGGGATCGGGGACGAAAGTGAGAATTAATAAAAAAAGTTAGAGGTGGGAATCGAAAAGTCAAAATTCGCCCCTATCCCTATCCATTGTCATCACCTCACTAAAAAATGAATATTAATAAATTAATAATTATTAAGTTAAATACTAAATTGAAGAGATTTTGTAACGACCTATTTTTTATGGGTTTTGGTAAAGAGAGTTTTAATTAACAAAGAATGAAAATTTAAGTTTTACTATTTTTTTTAATTATGACAGATTAAATTGTCCACTTTTATTT